TTACATGACAACTGACATTGAAAAATACTTTTTAAAATTATAAAATATACCCCATTACAAAATTAAAGTTTTTGGAAATCAGAAAAACGACCCCATTATAGTGATTCATGTTGGTTTTTTAATAACTCATATGAATAATGTTTTTTTATTTATGAAAGATACCCGCTCAACTTACTCAAATTTTCATTATTTATAAATATGACCTCATGCCTACATATTATAACGGTTCTAATTGAACCCATATTAAAACCTAGTTATAGAATACATATTTTGCACTAGTGACACCATGGAATTATACTTGCAGGTGTTCGCGCGGCCAGTACTTATAGAATGCCTCGGTATGTATTTTTTTTAAATAAAAGCGTAGAGGGTATTCAATTCCCTGATTGGACTTATTCTGTCTTCCTCAGGTATTATTGTGATTATTGTGATACTTACTTGACACATGATTCTGTAAGTCATCCCGTCCACCCGTCCATTTTTTAATGTTATTGGTATCAATTTACTCTAACTTTGTTATTTCTGAATCCTGTGTCACAGTCGTCTGTTAGAAAGCAATATAATTCTATGTATAAGCACAAGGTATTATCTAGTAGTTTTTTTATTCAAATGCATAATTTTACTGATTTATTGTAATTTATGAGTTGAATGTTGGTTCAGGCCAAGGTGAGGACTTGCAATCAGCAATATGAGGCACAACTTAACCAGAGTTTGATTGACCAAAGGGTCAAAGATCACCTTGTTGCATTTAGGGCACCTGCTCCTCCTTATGCCCAAATGAGACCTGGTATGTACCCCACCCCAGGTCAAATTCCCATTCCAGGAAAGGTCATTTCAGGTATCAATTAAGTCAATCTTTCTCCTAAACTTAGAGGTTTGAAATTTTGAATACATGCATATATAGAATGGATAGGTGACTGTAATTTCTTTAGATATATGGTGCCTGCCCTTAGAGTAAGTATTTTGGAATTGCAGGATAAGTATTTTGATGGTCTAAGAGTAAAGGTGGATTTGAGTGTCCATTTGCAAAGAGAATTCAAAAGCCTCAAGTAAGTTGCCAAGTTTGTCTTTCGTTTTATAAGTTGTTTGAGCATGCTTTGACTTCATTCACACATCTTTTTTCCGGATATACAATGTAATTGTATGGGTCCAGGGTCCTTCACTTTCCTTATATTTTGAAGCTAATATTGATAAATTCAAGTCTGTATAGGGCTTTAGTAGAGTTTTGACAATATATTACTACGTACAATTTTTCCCATTACTTTACTCAGAGTGGCAAACAAAGTGTTTTCTTTCAATTTTATCATTAGTGGATTTTTTAATACCAAATACTCGGGTGCATATAACAGGAAGATTAAGGATTTATTTGTCATGGAAATATTACTATATGTGGTCTTGATGGATCGAGTATGTGTAGAAAGTATATCTTAACATGTACTTCTACCAAGTTTTTTTGGTGGTATACATATGCCATTATAAACCTAATTTTACGTTTAATGTTTCATTGTTGAATAGTGATTTGGCATATTTATAGGATGAGAGAATCCACCGAAGAAATTTTACTTCTACCAACGTTTCATTATAACAATGAACGCTTGACTGCACTTGGGTTGCAAAATTATGTACATAGTTGGATTGCAGTGGTCAAGAGAAGAAAAAGAATAGACAACTACAGGACAAAAGAAACAATTCCAAATTACAAGAAGGAATCTTAAAAGGCAACCGAAAACTAAGGTATGAAAAGTAAAATAATAATCAATTCTTATTGATTCTTCAATTGAATACATGTAACCTTTAACTTATTGATTCTTGTAAAGCAGCAGGGTTTAATGTTTTATTTGCAATAAATTTCTGTTTTGTTTTACTCTTTAGCAGTGAGTTAAGAATTATACTTTCCATTTTCAGGTTTATTTACCTTATAACTTTTTTATTTCAGGTGTTGATTGCGTGTGCTCTTTTTTCTGATTTATGGAGGGTGACTGACTTTGGCTGCAAAGAACATTATATCAATTTTTGAACCTTTGTTTGGATTGTAATTGTTATGATTCAATTGTATGAACGGATGATGGATTTATCTGGAATTATTATTCTGTTTAAAACCTAGTTATTAGATACTACCTCCGTCCCATTAGAAGGTTCCCGTCCACTATTTGCATGGTCAACTTAAATCATTTTTAATCGTTTACTTTATAAATCAATTTTTAATCAAATTTACATTTTTTTATCAGCCTTTGTAGTGGTTTTAATGTAGTTTATGAATATATTAATTTTATTTACTAAAACTAATCAGAGTGTGAACAGGGATTAAGTTGCTTTATCGTCAGTCAAGCATCGTAAACCGTTCACGGGAACCTTCTAGCGGGACAGAGGGAGTATATTAAAATGTTCTAGTATTCCCACATACTGTTAATGATGTGATTATAGTATATACGGGATCATATTGCAATTTCCCCCCCTGAAAAATACTGAAAAATTGAAGTTTTTCACATCAGTTGTAAAATAACCGATGTGATTGATTTTCTACATGGGCTATAACCGATGTGAAACACATATGTTCCAGGAAAATGAAGCTTTTCACATCGGTTGATAAAATGACCGATGTGAAATCTTTTCTACATGGGTTATAATCGATGTGAAAAACCTATGCTCCACGAAAAAATGAAGCTTTTCTGCATCAGTTGTAAAATAACCAATGTGATTGCTTTTCTACATTGGTTATAACCGATGTGAAATATCATTAAAAACGCCATTTTGGACTATCTTCTAGATCGGGCACTAAACAACCGATGTAGAAAGAATTTCCACATCAGCTGTTTGACCGATGTGAAAAGTCAATACTTTTCACATGAGCTGGAACCACATCGGCTGTTTGACCGATGTGAAAAGCCTTTTTAGACCGATGTGAAAAGTCTTTTTTGTACTAGTGTTTATCTGATCTGATCTGATTTTTTATGATCTGATCTGATCTGAATAAAATAAGAATAAACAATAAGTAATAAGAATAAGATGAACAGAACAACTTCTAAGTTTCTCTTATATCATCTTTCATATACTTAAACTTAGTGTTGAGTTTATGTCCCGATGGATCCAGAGGCCCAACACCAACCTTTTGGATATGAAGGATTAATAATAAAAGAAAGTGTGTTTAAGAAAAGACTCACAACTAATGAATATTGCTCAACAGCTCCGATTGTATTACTCTAACAAGTGTGATTACTAGAAAATGACCGAACGAGAGTTAATGTACACAGTCTAATACAAGAGCTAGAATGAAGTATAATACTTGTGAGTAAACAAATGCTAACCCCCTTTTCGTGGAATAAATGTTGCTATTTATACTATATATGAGTAAGTGGGGAGATGATGTTGCCATATCTGGTTGGTTGCTTTTCCAGCCACTTGTGCACCCATGCTTCTACTTGAGTTGCCCATATTCTTGCATTAAATGCAGTGTGCCACTTGCACGGTTCCCTGTTCAGTTCTGGGACCCACCAAGCCATCAATCAAGAGTAATGTTGACCAGCCGCCAAGTGTGGACTAAGACCCGTTTGACATATCCCGAACGGTCACTTAGCCAGTGGGTCTGATCCCGTTCGGAAGATCCTTGCTCTGCTTTGGGCTTGCCCTTGCTCTTGGGCCTTTAGGGATATTCTGGGCCGGTATACTGAGCTGGACACTAATATCCCAACACTTAGTTTAGAATATTTGATTTTAAACTCCTTCTTGGTATTATATTGCTTTTGAAGCTTGTTGAATGTTAAAGTTGTGAGTTAATTTCTTTAGCTTCTTCCCATAAATATTAACTAATTATTCCCTTAGCCTATCTCTATATTAATGTTGAGTGTTGCTAAGTGATTATTAGTTAACACTTTGACATTAATTACTACTAGAAACGATAAATGAACTGATGGTTAATCATTGATGGTTTCACATGTAAGTAACTTGGGGCTATTAATGCATATATGGTCTCATGGTTAGTAATCTTAGGAGGAATTAATTGTGTTGGTTAAATAGAAACTGTTGTGTTGATGTTATTAATCCCAATTGATTCCATCGAGGAGTTAAAAGATTAAATGTTACATCAAGCCGGTATATGACGATTTTCTATACTTAGCTAATGAACGGAGTCGTTATTAATAAGTATCTTCGATGCATTGGAGATACTCCACGACTGAGTATTCGAGAGGGGACAAGATAAAGATATAACCGGGATCGAAAAACATTTCAAGAAGTGGACAGTAGCGAAGACAATTTTTTATCTCATTAATTTAGAACACATAAGTCGTTCATCTTAGTGTTTAACTATTCTCAAGTAAAACAATCTTACCCCCCCCCTTTGGTACTACATATTAGTGTTAGTATTGAATTTATTTTGAGGCACATAACGACTATTGTGCCGTCAACTACCCCCTCTTGTCCAAAACATATGAGCGGAGGTAGCATAACTTTTCATTCGTGGTCCAATTTTTACAATTTTAAACATTTTTTAATTTATCAATAGTCCTAGTTTATTTTTTAAAAATATATCTTGCCATAGCAGGTCAAAATGATTTGATTGATTGTATTTTAAAAGTAAGCGTACTTATATGATGCATTTTTTAATAGAAGAATTTAAGTGATGGATTGGAAATAATAGAAGGATTTATTTGACCTTTTTCCCATTCAGAAACTACGTTATAAGTTTTATAAAGTTGTAAAAAAACTCAAATATTACAAAAGTTGAATACACACACACATAAAGTAAGAGATTAAGAAGGTTTTACCTTCAACGGGGCTTAATGGACTCCGGGACCCTTTGTATGGGATGGAGGTACTATTTGATTCGATATTTTAAAAAAAAATCGGATGACAAATGAAAAAATATAATAATGATTGCAACAAAGGTGGGGTGGGCGATCATCCTATTGGATGATGGTTAACAACAATAGCTTTGGTCTATGTGTATGCATATATTTACGCATTGTATGTAACAACTAGCAGGGTCAATCACATTTGACCCACACATTTCTATTCTCCTATGTGGCCTGAAGTGTTTTATGTTTTGAAATGTAGATTTGATTTCGAGCTAGCTTTCAGGTCGGAAATTTAGAGCGTTGGAGCTGGGTTTCCGATCTGTGGATATTGATTTGTGATATTTGGGAGGGAAACGATCAACGTGGCTTCTCTTGCATTGTTAGGGTTAAAGAAAAGTCAAGGGTTTTGAAGGGTGAGGGACTTGTTGTCATGCAATGTCGACACCAATGTGGAGGGTTCATTAATACATACAAAATGGGTGATAAGAAAATTAGGAGTCCAAGTTACCCTATGATGATGGAAAAGGACGATGACCTAACATTGTTCTATGAAATGAGTAAACCGGAGAAGAAACATGATTATCTACATCACAATTCTAATATGTTTCATGCCCCTCTTGGTATGTACAAATTTTATGTTTGATTCGGCAACCATAACCGGTTGATTCTATTTAATTCATATCTTGTTTATTTCATAGAAATATATTTCACCAAATGTTTCTTTGTAAAATAACAAAACTCTGTATTTTCATATTTTAACGAAGCTCTTACCAAACGAGGCCCTTTTCCTTAAGCAGTATTTTATTCCACTGCCCTGAATGTGGATATGATGGAGTCAGACATAATATGTTGTCTTCAACATGTCAATAGTTTTTTACACTTGAATTTATAAGCATTTTCATGGATTTGAAGGTTAAAATGTAAAGAAAAGAATCCAACCCAAAATAGCATCATTCCCTTTGCATTTCAATAGAATTCCCATGGAGAAGCAAAATGGTGAGATGTACTCCGCGACACTAAAGTAAGATCACGACAAAGCAAGCAATGGTGAGATGTACCTTTTGGCAGTGAAGGTCACACTGAAGAAAGTGAATGGTGAAAGCAAAGTTGGGGACTTCGTGGTTGTGGCGACAATGCTGGGTGTCGAAGCCGGATGCCGAGAAGCTCCATCAAGGACTCCCTATTGCAGTTCGAACCAATTTTATGGAATTTCATTAAAATCTTATAGATTTTTTACAATTCCATAAAATTCTATATAATCTCAATCCTCTATAACTCTTTACAATCCTAAATGAGGACACACCCCTTAATCAATATTACGAGCACTTATGGTTTCTATAATGCACTTATCTTTTGTGTTAATATATACTAGCTCTGAATAATACTCTAGTAGATAACTATAATAATGAACATGCCTTTTAATATGTTGTTGCCTTGTTCTATTTCCTTAAATTCCAATTTTTGAAATTTTTATTATGTTAGATAGCAGATTGCTAGGACAATGAACACCGGCCTACTCACCACTAGCATTGCCAAAAATGTGGTGTAGGCTCAATTAGAGTACTCTTCTCAACACATACACTTTTAATCTGCAATTACATCTTGTGTGCAGGATCAACTAAGGGAAGTTCTCCTGTATTCAGTATTGCATCAACAATAACTGGTTTTGAGATTGATGTTGATGATTTGCTCAGTACGGAGAATGATAAAAATGACTATGAATGGTACTCAATTGCTTAGTATTTTCTCGTTCTTTATGCACTTCAAATCGATTGTCGAGATTTTATTTGGATTAACTATTTATTGGAAAATGAAGTTGATTTTTTATGTCACTTATATGTTATCCATTCCAAAATATCTGTCATTTGAATTTGGTTTCCCCATATTAAAAAAATCATTTAATAGATACATTTCAGCATCTGGGTGTACAAAATCACCACATCTCCAACAATAATAATAAATGAGATCCACCGCAAATAATAAGAGAAGGGAAAAGTTAGAAGAATATATTTACTTTTCACTTGAAAGATGACAAGTGACAAGAGGCAAGAGGAAGCATTAATTTTAAAGCTACCAAATTGAAACTCGCCAAAGCTTAAATAACCAAAACCAAGTGCAAATGTGTTTTTGTTTGTGTTTTGATGTTAAGCCTTCAAAGCTGACCAAACTAAAAGGAACTCATCAAAAGTTATGAAAAAAGTCGATGTAAGTTATTTGATTCTCCTTGATTTTTCTGTTTACAAACTCGGACCAGCTTAATTTGACCAGACTGATATACACCCATCTTATTAATTTGTCTAACTCTTCGTAATCTACTCTCATGTGAATCTTTTAATTGGTGCAGGCTTATGACACCACTTGATACACATGTTTCCCCTTCATTAGATTTCGAGTCAACAGAACCTGAAACAAATGTACGGGGAACTCGTGAAATGTTTGCACTTGCAGAAATACGCAAAGTAAGCTATCCTTAGTTACATTACCTTACGTGCAGCATAAAAATCTTAGGTGGAGTCTCAAATCATTATAAGCAATTTATGTTGTCTTCTATTATTGTCTCAAGGTTAATGTTAAACATATGGGTTGTACTCTCTTGATAGCGGAGGCTTATCAATAAAAGAAGATTGTATGATTATGATTTGTATCTATGTGAGTTATTCCTTATGTAGGAAGGTTTTGGCTTATAATTACTATTTGGTAGTTTTTTTCCTACTAACAAGCTTGTTTTTAACACACTAATTATAAAGTAATTTACTGTGAAATGCTAAAAATATATGAATTAGATTTTTTTACTAAAATTATTGAAAATGATCATTTTAGAATCTACATACACAATCATTAAAAGTTATTTTGTTTTGTAATATAATTCTGCAATTTCAGTAAAGTCATATGTATCAACCACAATTTCTATATTGCCTCCAAACTCATGCTTGCTCTTATATGATTGTTATGAAGATATTTACTAACAACATCTAAATGTGCATGCTAATTTTCTTAAAATAGTTACTTTTGGTATTATTTATATTATTGTTATTAGAGAAAAAATTGTGAGGAGGCTAAATGGGCATCCTACTAAAAATATTGTTCCCCCGACTAATAAAGTTTTATTTATTTCCTTCTTTTATGTGTTATATCATAGCTATCAAATCCCCATACTGAGCCCATTGCAAAAAGCAGTTTCACATCGAAAGACTCAACTCCTTCACGATTAAACAGTTCAAAAGCATCAATTAGCCGAAAACGCTTATCTTCAGATAGATCAAAACCTTCAACAACCTCAAGTGTGAAACCGGTGACGAAGAGCGTATCCATGTCAGTATTGACCACGTCATTAGCTAAGCCAACATCTAATATATCATTAAAAGGATCACACACAAGAGTGGTTTCATCTAAATCAACACAATCAACATCATTGAAGCGATCCACTCTTGGACCACAAATGTCAACATCAGAGAATCCATCCATGTCTTCGAAGCCAAAATTAATGTTCAAATCAATACCAAGGAAGTCAATCAAACATCTTCAATACCAACAAGCTAGTTCTCCAACTATGAAACAAAGACTACTGAAAGCCCCCAACTCATTGCCTCTCTCTCTTAATGCTTCTCCGATGATATCATCAATACCTGAAAAGAAGAAACCAGTTTTTATCAGCACGGGTAGATCTGGAAGACATGTTGAATCTTCTCTAGTCAACGGAAGGGGCATTAGATGGAAATTGTCTTCTTTGGAAAGAGGGGGTCCTCGTCCTCTTAATTGTGGTATCACCCATAGCAGCATTAGAGGAAACTCCATTGCTCCCTCAACTATGAGTAGATTACACGGTAAAGCTAACACTAAAGCCAGTCCTATAGCTGTTGGGACTAAAATGGTAGAGAAAGTGGTGCATATGCGAAAATTGGCCTCGCCCAAGCAAGATAGTAGCACTAGACAATCTTCATATGTTTCTTTTTTGTCTTCAAAGTCTTCATTGAGTGATAGTTTGGGGTTTGGAAGGGAAAACTCGAAGAGACCTTTGAATATGGCTATGAAACACACAGTATGTAAGGTAATCTCTTTGAACATCACTTTATTTGTTTTTTGTTTTTGTTTACTCTTATCGATCTTAACTCGGCTCTTTCTGAAATAGGATAAAAAGCGAACTGTTCCAGCTAATATGAACCCATTGAGATGACTGAAATTCCAACATTATCATCAACCAGAATTAGTTCAGGGCCCCAATGATAGGCGGGAGCATTTCATACATACCTCAGGGACCTACTGGCTAATGGATGTTTAGTGGAAAGAGATAATGGATGATCAGACTCCCCTTCACATGAGTGATATTAAGGGCTAATTCTGTCACATCACACACACACACACATACATACATACATACATACATACATACATACATACATACATACATACATACATACATACATACATACATACATACATACATACATACATACATACATACATACATACATACATACATACATACATACATACATACATATATATATATATGTGTGTGTGTGTGTGTCATGTTGAATGGTTGATTTTTAAACATGGAAGCAACATTTTACAAATAGAGTAGTCGTGATTTCCATGGAGGATACTTACCGGATGGTTTAGTTATGTAAAAGTTCATGTGATTTAGTGAAATGTGTATGTATTACTAGATACAAGCCTATGAGTAAACAATCTTATCTAGGATATTGATCGCACACATGATGTATATAAGGCTCACAATGGTGACTATTTGGCGAATCACACTCTTGATTTATGAATTCCATGCTTTTCACTTCGGTACACAACTATTGACCTTGCTAAGTTGGCACTTCGACAAACCACTATCAGTGCTCGTGGTATTGTATTTATATAACCGATACGTATTGTGCTCAAGCAAATTAAACGTGCATTTGCCATATATTTCACCTCTAGTATTGCGAGATAAATTATACGTTATGTTTTTGTTCATATATTTTTGGCTGATTATCTCTTATCCTTGAGTTTTTATTTTTTCTCGGGCAATGCTTTGTTTTTGAGCTATCTTTCAGGACGGAATTTCAGAGTGTTGGGGTTCGGTTTCCATCTATGGTCATTGATTTCTAAGATTAGGAAGAAAAATTTGCGGACTCCCTCCACATTCTAAGGGCTGAAGAGAATCGTAATATTGAACCTCGAGCAGCAGCCTCTAGTGTAGAGCAATAGTAAAACAGAATGCTATTATTCGAAGGTTGAAATTAGGAGGAATAATTGAATAATTACTTGTACGTACGGAGTATTATATTATAATTATTTAGAATAATACTTAAACCAAATATCATCATTCTGTTTGGCACTATTATTAGTGTTACTGTAATGATTATTAATAGTATCCATATGGATATCATAATATTACTTAGGTCTGAATGTACCAACACATACGATATTCATTCATATTGATAAATGCGTTATGGGTAAGTCAATTGTAGCACCGTCCCCAAACATATTAACTTTTATGTAAATAATGTATTGAACATTGAGAAATGATTAATGAATTTACGAGATTGTAATTTTTTGTTATTTCTTTTGCGTGAATAGTAAATGCATGTGGGGCCCACACTGGGAGAGGGGACCACCTGATATATACAGGACTACATATTATATTCATCTTGGTCTAATAAATAAGCAGAATTCGTCAATCCCGCCTCTCCAATCAGAACTTCGTAAATTTTAGCAGAATTAGCTGATTTCAGTATTATCAAACAAGCTCATAATCTCAAGAGGAGTATTTATGTAGGAAATATGGGCTAGATTCTCAGACCTGGGCCTGACAAGCCCAAATACATAAAATGACTAATGAATGATAAAATCTATTTTAACAAGTACATATGAACAAATAAATTGTACATAATGTAAATGTTGGGTACTAAGCGTATGTGAGCCGGTGCCCATGCCCAAATAGTCGTGAGATTGAGGATCTAGTAAAAATAGACGCTGAAAGTGTTCATAAAAATAATTCAAACTAGCACTAATGTTATCAAAAATAATTTGAGGTAAATTCAAACTAATGACCATTTATTAGCCCAATCCAATTCTCACATTCTCCTTCTTCACTCTTCGTTTCGGGTAACCATATATCCCAACCCAAAGAGAACCATATATGATGAACATGACATTGAGATTAAACGAGAATTAGTTTGAGTTCACTCCGAGAAAAACGGAGAAGGGGAAAGTGTGAATATGATCGAATTGTGAGTGTTTAACAGGTATTTGTTTGATTCGCCTCAATTTATTCTTATCCATATCATTGCTAATTCAAATTATTTTTCATTAATACTCTCAGTAGATGTTATTATTACAAAATATATGAAAGTAAGATTTAATTTTATGAATGTTTTCAAATTAAATACGTAGTAAAAGTTTGATTTGAAAACACTAATTTTAGTTTTTTTAATAGAAAAGTTGAAATGCTTTAAATAAGAAATGTATTTTTTGGCAAAGCTTTCCTAACCTACTATAGTATTTGTTCTATGTTAAGATGACATCCTTGAACTGGGATGAGATTCGAATCCGTGACCTCCTACTTAGGCTTAAACTGGGATGAGATTCGAATCTGTGACCTCCGTCAGACCACAAGATACTTGGCTTAAATAAGAAATGTTATGAATTAGCAAATGTAGCAAGACTATTAGACCATACTATGGCTATGATTGACACAACGAGCGAAGCTAATGCCTGGATTGAGAGCTATTGCTTGAATCATAAACTATTGTCTTCAGTTGAATTATCAAGTGCTGGATCTGAATTGCAAAAAGAGCTGAAAAAGTACTGGATAATACGAAATTACGTTAAAGTATATTTTATGTCTTCAACATTTTAATCCAATTAAAATATTAGAAATATAAATAGAAATACTCAAAAAAGTTTGAGTAAATAAATATCGATAAAGAACTAAATTTGATATCCATTGATTAATGTGGAGAATACACATAACAGGTATACGTACATATTGACTTAGGTAATTTACGAATTTAGAATATTTTTCAATTATTGACTTGAAACAAATATTTTCAACTATATTTCATGGTGTTGACGTTGGTATCCAGAAAAAATCATCAAAAGGAATTTGAAACAGAGCATAATTTACTGTGGGATAGAAGTGAAATTTGTATCTTGTATTGGTACAAAGATTGACCAAGCCAAAGAAAAATATGCAAAAAACTACAGTAAAAAAGGGATGGTGTACTGATGTGTGCAACTGTGCAAGAGACGTACCAAAGTAGAAGAAAAGAAGGTCGTGGGGTTATTTCAAGAATACAAATGTAATGTAGAATCAGCTGAACATAGCGTTGTACAACATTCAGCCTACATTTTCTCACTTAAGCTTCGTGTAGCCGTTTTGTCAAACATGGGGGATTACAAACAACAAGATCCAAACCATAGTCCCAAAAGATATCGGGGTCGGCTAACATGAATCGATACATGATATCACCACCAAAAGGAAAAGAAAGAAAATAAAGATAAAAAAGATAAGCTATAATAAAAAGATAATATAAAAAGAGATGAATATACATAAAAATGATAAAATAAAAAGGATACAAACAATGCTTACTAGGATAAAAAACAAGGAAAAAAGATGAGAGGAAAAGATGATACGAGATCACTCCTCCACACGAATACCCGCCCTCCGCTTAGTTCTCTTCAAAGTCATGCCATCATCCAACCCCAGAAGAAGCATATCACTTCGAACTCCCCTAACCCACGTCTGTTTGGGTCTTCCTCTCCCTCTCTTCCCCGTCTCTTCTCCACACATCTCAACTCGTCTGACAGGTGCATCACTCGGTCTTCTGCGCACATGACCAAACCACCATAGGCGCGACTCCCGCAACTTGTCTTCAATAGGTGTTACTCCCACCATTTGTCTGATTGTCTCATTCCTCACGCGGTCCTTCCTAGTATGCCCACACATCCAACGCAGCACACACATATCTGCCACACTCATCTTTTGAATGTGATATTGTTTCACCGCTCAACACTCTACGCCATACAGGAATGCAGGCCTAATTGCTGTCCTATAAAATTTACCCTTCAGTCTAGTCAGCATACCTCGATCGCATAGAAATCCTGACGCACTCTTCCACTTCATCCACCCTTTTCGGATTCAATGAGATACATCTCCATCTAACTCACTGTCCTTCTGGATTATGGAGTCCAACTAACGGAACATATCGCTGGCTGGTATCTCCTTACCATCTAGAGTAATTCCGCTATTACCACTGCTTCTACCTCCACCAAACTTGCACTCCATGTACTCTGTCTTGCTCCGACTTAGTTTGAACCCCTTATTCTCCAATGTTTGTTACCATACTTCCAACTTTGCTTTAAGACCTCATTGCGTCTCATCAATCAATACAATATTGTCGGCAAACATCATGCACCACGGTATATCGTCTTGAATTGACTTCGTAAGTTCATCCATGACTATGGAAAATAAGAAAGGGCTCAAAGACGATCCTTGGTGCACTTCGATAGTAATAGGGAACTCTTCAGTCCTCCCTACACTAGTACGAACACTTGTATTACAATCCTCATACATATCCATGATGATGCTGATATACTTGCATGATATGCCTTTTCTAGTTAAGGCCCACCAAAGAACTTCTCGAGGTGCCCCATCATATGCATTTTCTAAGTCAATGAATGATAAGCGTTTTATTAACGTATTTTATACAATAATTTATAAACGCTTTTATACATAAAAGAATAAAACTCTCACACATATGTCTCGTTTTGCAAGAAATACTATAACCGACAATTGGATCAAATACGAGGATGAAAAGACACACGAAGAATCCCGACAAGTGAAGGTCAACCAAATGCATCCCGAAGAACAAAAGAAGAAAAGGAAAATGCACCAAAGGGGTGAAAACCGCCCGACTTTCACCAAAACCGACCGGTTTTCACCAACCAGTCATCCAGTTGCCGTCCGAAGATGAAGGAAAAGCGTCCAGAGCAAAACAAGACGAAAGCCGCCCGGCTTTCATGAAAGGCGCCCGGCTTTGGGCGCCGTGGAATTTATTCAATAAATCAAACCAAAAGCCGCCCGGCTTTTGCGAATGTCGCCCGCCTTTCGCCTGGAGCTGATTAAAACAAGCAACAGTCATCACAATCATTCGGGCAAACCACCAAATCCCATTAAGGAGCTTGCTTCCTTGTCCGAAAATGGCCGTTGAGAACTCAATATTTAAGAGGATTGAAGCTCTCTCAACACATTATTCCATATTCTACACACTTTACTTCTACTTTGGCATCCCAAGAGCAACCCCTTGGTCTTGGGAGAAGTTCTACACTTGGGGAAAGCTTTGTCCACCATAGCTTTGGAGTTGTGGTATCATTTTCTTATGTATTTCATTGTATTTTATCATTTCAATACTTGTAATTTCATTATGAATTGTTCTAGCTAATTTTCCATAGCCAAGGTTAGGGATGAAACTTTACGCACTCTAGGTGTTTGATGTATGTTCTCAACCAAAATTATTATGATCTTTCCTTTATATTTTAATGTGTATGATTACGGTGTACAACGTATGATTATATCGTTGGGTTTATTTGAGCAATTAACGTTGAGTTATAAACCGTGCACTTAAAGGTTAGACATATTCTAATTGTGGATAGAAATATACCTCAATTGAGTATGGTGGTTTTTATAATGTCCTAATCTTCAATGGGATTAATTTTAGATGAATATGAACCGTGACGGGATTCACACGTAGAATTAATCACAATCTCGTTGCCGTAATAGGAGTTAGAATACTTTAGTGACATTCCACTCATAAGAATTGGCGAAAGAACATATATTCATCACTAGGAGTCGTTTAGGAGTAATCCCGAACCCTTGGTTGCTTTTATTATCTCTTGAAAAACCAAAAATCTTTACTCTTTTCATAAGTCTTTTACTAAACCCCTTTCCCTTTTTGAATCATATAAACACAACATTTCCTTGTGTTCGACCCGGTATTTTTACCGGAATTTATTACTACATTGGCACTTGTACACTTGCAAGTTTAAGCCAACCAAGTTTTTGGCGCTGTTGCTGGGGAAACGGTTTTGTTTTATACGATTCAACAAAAAAATCCTGATTTTTTTCCCTTTACGTTTCACTTGGTATTATTTTGAATTTTGTTGTGTAGACAAGCTCTTAGTGCATGCTATTGAGAAGTCAAGGCTCTACAAACCTTGAACCTATCAATCTTGAAATATAGAGAGCTTGTAGAAGGAATCGGAAGAAGGAAGCAAAAGTACCAACAATGTTTCCCGCACTTCCCACTCTCAATGAAAGGAAGAGGCCCATCATTGCAACTACTCCTTCTTGCATCGTGCTTAGCGAGGCGGCACGAGACTATGAGTTGCGGAATAGCTACTTCAACGCTATGCCGCACTTTTATGGACAACCGGGGGAAAATCCATTAAATTTCATCA